TCCCGGCCACAGGCTCGCAGGCGCCGAGAACAATGGGGGCTGCCTGCGCTTCCTGCGCCCGAGCGAGCTTTGTTCCTCCCTTCCCGCCCGTCGGCTTCCATTAGCCGAAGGGCGCCGGCTTCGCAGTCGCCCGGAGGCTCGCGCGAGCGCCCAGACCTCTCCGCGCTCTCTGAAGTCCCGGGCGTAGGGGTTTGGGCCAGAGCCGACCCAGGGATAAGACGCGCATCCAGATGCGCACAGCTGCCGGCCGCCCCCCACCCCGCCCCCGGCCCCAGACGGTCCCCTCGCCAGAACCCACACCCGGGATATCCGACTCCGCTTCCACTGGGGACCCACAGAGGAAGTGGGCCTCAGCGCTGCTCCGGCCAAACGGCCTCACATCTGCTTTCCCCACATCTGTCCTCCTGCCGGCTCCCCCGCGCCCCCAGCGACGCTGGACGCGCCTGCCAAGACCATAGCACCACTGAGGTCTCCACCAGCCCCAGATTTTCCCGTTAGCGGGCTGGGGTTTCGCAGGAAGCTAAGTGGTCGACTTCTGAGAATCTGTGGCCCCCCCACTCCATCGTCCAGGCCCTCCTAAGGCGAGCCCGAGCAGGGCCTGGGAGCCCTCCCGGTGACATTTTTAAGAAGGCGCACTTCGGCCACACGCATCTGGAGGTGGGCCAGCCCTGCACATCTGGGCGCAATGCCCCCTCATAACGGACCCGAGGTCTGCAGAGCCGGCCGCGGAGGGTGGGGCGCGCCTCCCCCACACCTTCTCTCGCAGCTGCCGGGAGAATGCGGCGGGCGGGGCGGGCGCAGGACTCACCCAGCATCTGGCTGAAGAGCAGCTGCTCCAGGTCTCCCAGCACGGTCACCACGAGCTCGGGGTCCACCTTGAGGAAGGCGCGCTCCTCCTGGCCCTTGGTGGAGGGCACGGTCCCGGAAGCCTTCTGCGCCTTGGCCTTGCTGGACAGCAGCTCGTCGTCCGACTTGCCATCGTCGCTCACGGCTGCCTCGGGAGCCTTGCTGAGCGGCTTGACCTCGGCGTACGGCCCACGCGGGATGCGGCTCGGCTTTCCCAGGCTGGGCGCCAGCGGAGCCAGGGGCGTCTTGGCGGCGCCCGCCGGGCCGCCCTTGGTCTGGAAGAGCGAGTGCTCGGACTTGGACAGCGTCTTGGACATCGGCGGGGCCTCGCGGCCTTTGGGGCCGGCCTCACCCAAGCCCTTGGGCGCCTTGGCCATGTCATCGCTCCACTCATAGGGCCGCAGCTTCTTCTCAGAGTCCGTGAGGAACGACAGGTTGCTGAGCGACTTCTGTTTGCGCAGGTTGGAGGCGGGCGGCCCGCCGGGGACTCGGCCGTCCACGCTGCCGGACTTGAAGACCTTGAGCTCGGCCGCGCTGGCCTTGGACATGCCGCCGCCGCCGCCGGGCGCCTC